TGTCCTATGACATCTATGTACCAAGTTTCATTGAAATGTGATGATTACTACTTGAAATATCAAAAGCTGAAAATTAATTAATTATGCTAATTAGGTAATTAATATGTACTCGTATTACCCTAAAAACTATCAGGTCTGTGCAGTGTCCTATGACATCTATGTACCAAGTGTCATTGAAATGTGATGATTACTACTTGAAATATCAAAAGCTGAAAATTAATTAATTATGCTAATTAGGTAATTAATATCTACTGATATTACCCTAAAAACTTTCAGGTTTGTGCAGTGTCCTATGACATCTATGTACCAAGTTTTATTGAAATGTGATGATTAGTACTTGAGATATCAGTGGAAAAGCCGAAAATTGATTAATCATTATGCAAATTAGGTAATTAATATTGCACAGATTTTTACCCAAAACTAATCAAATCTGCGCATTAGTTTGGAGCATCTGTGTGATAAGTTTCATCAAAATCCAATGAGTGGTTCTTTAGATATCATTGGAACAGTCATGAAACAGCCAAAAATCAGCTAATTATCATGCAAATTAGGTAATTAATATGCATGGATTTTTACCAAAACCTAATCAAATCTGCGCATTGGCCCAGAGCATCTATGCACCAAGTTTCATCAAAAACTGATGTATGGTTCTTGAGATATCAGTGGAACAGACGGACACACATACACACATACAGACACACTAACTGCAAAGACTCCCTTTTTGTGCTTCGCACACGGGAGTCAAAAATGGCAACTTTGACTGTTGACCAACAATTCTAAACTGAGCCAAAATTTAATTAGACAATTTCTTTGTAATTGGAGGGTATAAAAGAAGTCATCGGCGGTAATTGGCAAGTCGCGCCCAGGTCAAAACTCATAATCGTGATTTAATTAGAAGAGCGCACTAGATTGTGGAGAAACAATATTTATCAACAGAAATGTCGCACATGCGCGGCGCGGCGCGACCACCACCGCCCTTTTATCAATTGCCGTGTTTCGTGTTCGCTTATTCTGCTATTAGCAAAATGCTCTGAATTAAAACTGGAGAATATTCAAATTTTACAATAGAATGTATTGTTTCCACCACAAATCAGTGAATTTAAAACCATGTGAATATCTCTGAAACCTATAAAGCTAAAATTAAACTTCCTTTACAGTCATTGTACTAGTTGCGAGGGATACACTGTGTTTATGCTTCTGTAACGTAAATGGGCCTGGTCAAGGGTTTAAGATTACCGATAACTTTTTTATAATCGGTGGTTACAAAAAGTTTTTTTCCCCCCAGAGATTTGCCATATTTTGAATGGCTAATGACTTCACAATTTGAACATTGCTTAAAGCGGGAGGGTCGTCACCTGCGCACGCGCGGGAATAGAGTCCCAAACGAAGATAACACACGCTAAAAATGCATAGGTTCATCACGGTTACTAAAAAGATTTTTTAGTAACCGTGGGTTCATTGATAGATGCTTGTTTCTAAACAATGACACGCTATGGCCATCTGACGCATGCCCAGGTGACGACTTCCTCGCTTTAACCCAATCAATGATTTATTTTCTGACCAGAGCGTGTGTTAGTTCAAAAGAGTCGTCTCTTGACCGATGTCTACCAATTTTTTGTAAATATAAAGGATCAGAAACAAATCTTTTCTGACCATTACATCCTTCTTCGTCATATATTTAACAAAAAATCACACCATTGCTGGAAGGCGCGACTTATTGGGGCAACATTATGTTCCAAACAGTCAGCACCATCATGATGGATACATACATATTCGATATCCCATCGATAATTAACATTCAATAAATCAATCAGCTGCCACATTATTTAGTGTCAATAATCGATATTGACGAATCACAATGACAGACAGTGAATATTACAAGCTGTATTTATTTTTCATTTAATATACAGAATATTACAATTCATAGAAATCACCCCAAATATATCTCTTATACATGTATGTATATAAAATAATCATCTTAGCTGAACATTGAGAGAAAAACAGGTTCTCACAGATATTTAAGAATACATTTCTCATGGATGGGCGAGTTGAGTATTGGGATACATTTATTCTGAGGATTGTTTTCAATGGAGTCGACCTGAACAGCCTCAATATGAATGACAGTCTTAAAGCGCCACATGCGTCGCTTTATGAACGCGTATCGTGCTCATTCGCGTAACGCTTTATCAAAGACCCAGTGCTTGATTTAAAAATATCGTTTTAGAGAGAGTGATGGATAGTTCGGTTTCTAGTAGGACCGGTCTTGACATGTAAAATCTGAATACACGATTTAAATGTATCAAATCTTATATGGTCAGCGAAAATAAACGTCAATTCCACATCTCGCCGCGGTCTCGGGAGTATGCGAGACTTAAATATTGCACTGTAACCACATTCAATTAAATGCAAGAATTACGCCCTCATTGTATAGGCGCCAATTTTATTGACATGATAATAGTGTTACCCAATGTAGACTTTACAACGAACTAAAGTAACTCGCCCCAGACATCGGTCGATTAAAATTAATTATTGATTATTTCAAAATTTTGGCTAACTATAATAATAAAACTGAATCTGTGTGGATATATAAAAGCAGAACAATAATTTGTGTTTTCCTGATACTGCACATCATGCATCAAAATATTGAAAGAAAATTGACATAAATGTAAATAAAATAAAATACAACGGAAATATGTGCTGACAATATTCAAATTATAGCTTGTGCATAATTGACCTAACAAATTTATTTCACTCGTAAAATTAAACGTAATTATGTGATGAGAAGCGATCATAAAGTCAGTGCCATTTATGTGCATATACACTAATATCCCAATTCGTGCCCGGCACCTAGGCAATGATCGTCTTCGGGGTCGATAATATGATGTTGCGGACAGACATCCATGAAATAACCCGTAACCAAAATGGCGGCCTTGATACAATGCAGAAAGAAAAACATAGGTCACATGACATAATCATATCATGCGTGACCGATACGCTACATCATACTCACGCGAGAATAAAATATACGTTTGAACGGTGAGTGTAAAATTAGAAATTCGGTTTATATAAAAATGGACCCGTGCGAATATGTCATAAAACCGATCATGTCACCAATACTACATTGACGTTAGAATTGCAATGTCTTGATCATCTGATACACAACATCCGGGTACTTTGAACTATGATTTATATTGTATAAGTTGTTTTCATACCCTGACAACTCCATTATGACCTCCAAAATACAGGGCGTTTGCAGGATGAGACAAGTCTTACAATAAATTTCATATTTGAATAGATATCGTGTGAAGATTAAAACCAATCAATAATTATCCGTGCAAATAAAAGCGTTGAAACAAGGTGCTGTCAGAAGCGTGTGTATCAAAGTATCGATTGAGTTATGTCCTAAGAAACATCGATGTCACCAACTTAAGTCTGATGCATATTAATATTATTTTGGTGAAAATTGCATCTCTATAATTATAATAAAAGAAACCTGTTATAGCAACTGTGGCTTTGCGTATATAAATTGTGCAGATTAATCACATAAAAATTCAACAAATTGCCCGGAGCTTAAATACAAAACAGAGCACTTCTTTGAAAAAGACCATTCCCAACGTATTGTTTATATTAGTATAAAAACGGTTAAAATATTTGACATAGACTCAATATCAAAATTGCATAAAGTGCTCGCCAAATTATTCTATGTCAACTAGTAACGAACGTTCTGATTGGATACGCTAAGCATGATGTAATCGGGTAGCCATGACTGCAATTATTAACCAATCACGACAATTGCCGCTTGTAGTGTTCAAGTTCACCTCATTAATCACTGTTGAATGTGAAACTTTGTTTAAAATATCAAATCCCGAGTGATGATACAATAATCAACAAAAATGCTCGTAAATCAACCAAAATACTCGTACAATTTGAAATGAACACAAAGTTGGAAAAATAAGTGAAAAAGGAAAAGCTTTGAACTTACGGTCCGAGCACAAATACAATTATTTTGTACAATAATAACGTGTTCATCTTTATACGTTTTCGTGATAATAATTTTACCGCACCGCAAAAAGTGCAAGAATTGAGTGAAATGGAACACAGCAACAGTCCCTGGTAGCTGTGATTTATATTACGTAGTAATATTCTTTATTTTGACCCCATTATCTCAAACGGCCCAATCCTTTATATAGATTACACTGCTGAAAGTTTCCCAGTTTATGAATACCAAAATACTACCCAATTGACACTTGTCACACCAAACTACAAATGAACGTCACGATAAACTTGACATTAATTATTTAGTAAATAATAATAAAACTATGCAGAAAATCACATTGTCTATATTCATGATTGCTAAATTACGATTCCGAAGGCACAATTGAAATGCATAGTAAATTACTTATTAGGGAGTTTGCATCATTACCAACTTGAATATACCTCGAATCAGCCCAGTTAGCTAGATTGGGGCGCCATGATGTGCGATTATCGCGTCTGACTTAGGGAAATGAAATCAGATTTTCTCATATATTATGTTAAAGTTTGCTATATTAAATGAGATGCATATATGTATTAATAGTATTACGTGTTTCCCTCCCTAGAAATTCATTACAATTGCATATCTAATGATCCATTGGTTCAACGGTGGGTGTTCAAAAACGAAACCAGGTGGGGGTGCTTCCGTAAAAACGAATATGCTGTTGGTACGACCAGACACCTACTCCTTTCCAAACAGCCAATACGCGAGAATAAAAACCTCTTTTACAATAAAATGTTTAGCCCTCACTTATACTTCTGATATGCTATATAATATGATATGAGCTGGTTTCTCAGAATGTGCGATTTTTAAGGGTTATTGTCAGGTGTTAAATATATACCCCTTTAATAACGAATATTGAAAAGGCAGCACTTTTTTCACAGACTCCTTGACTCAAAACCAGTAACTCATTTGGCAGCACATCTTTTCACTTGAAGAACCCACCCGAGAATGTAGCAAACATTGCATAACAAACAAGGCTGCGTGGATTGCAGGCATTGTCCTTTGATCACCGTTAAATTTTATCGACTCTTTTTTCCCCTATAACGAAGAAATTGACACTTTATCAGATTCGAAAACATGCCATTAGCGGTTTCAATATTACGTCCGATTACGTCAGCAGCTTACAGCCTCGTTCGCAGTTAGTTTATGACGCACACGGTCACCGCCTCGTTGTGCACATATTAACAAATGAGCCAAACAAAATCAGCCTCTTAGGAATTTTGAGGAACTTTAAATCAAACATTTCCATGCCATGCCGTAATGTGATGTGATAGGGGCAGGATGTCGGTGACCATTGTATGATGGACGAAACAATAGATTGAATAATTTACTCGGTTGGGGGTGTGTGTGTGTGTGTGTGTGTGTGTGTGTGTGTGTGTGTGGGGGGGGGGGTGATGGTACGTAAACCTGAAGCAATCTAAAAGATAAAGAGAAGCTGAA